CCTGCTCGTCGCCCTCCCCACGTACCGCTGGCGCTGCCCCTGCAGGAGATCTGAGCAGAGCCGAGCAGGAGACGCAAGAACGCCCCAAACCACCGCTCATCGCCCCGGGCCGGCCTGCAGCCTGCACCCCGGGGAGCGGCTCTCCCAGGGCCCCCTGACAAGCACGAACCATTTGAGGCCCCTGCAGAGCCTCCCTCCCTGTGACATGGGTCAGCGACCGGCCCGCCTGCCCCTGTCCCGGCCCCGCTCTGTCCCGCCAGCTCTGAGATGAGTCTCCCAATAAATCGCTCTGAGAGTGTCCACCGCACTGTGTTCTCTGCTCCCACGTAGCGTGGCTCTGCTGTGGCCTCCCCCCACACTGCCCCACGCCAGGCACTGGGCCCCACACGCTGCCCCACGCCGGTCTGCCCGAGGGGCGCGCAACACCCAGGGCACCTTGGGCCGGCCTGGTGGGAAGAGCACGTGGCAGCTCTGGGCTGGGCCAACACACAGTCTGGGGCCCACGGCGCCTGCAGGGGGGCTCCTGAATGTCCCCGGGGCTCAGGGCTGCACCCCGAGGGCAGGGCAGGGGGTGAGGGGCTCGGCCCCACATGTCTTGCAAGGGGGATGGAACAGCGCAGGGCTCACCGTGTCCCACTGGGTGAATTCACCCTCTCTGGGCCTGAAGGAGGCCTGTCCACCTCATGACACTCCCCAAGGAGACAGGCCCATTCCCCACCAGCCTCAGCCAGCCCGTCGCCCACCCTGGGACTGGGTTGGAACCGGGGCCCTACAACCAGGTGCCGTCACAAATTACAGCAAGAGGTGACAGCCACGGGGCTGCCAGTTGTCCCAATCGGGTGTAACGTCAGCCCCACGGACCGACAGGCCGGTTCTGCATTAACGGACACCCCAAAAAACGGTCATGAAGGCGCCATGGTGGCCACACAGCTCAGGGGTCGGACACAAACCTGCAAACGCAGGGAGCCAAAGAGTGAGGCCAGTGACCAGGGCAAACCCTCTTCCCTCCGCCTCCCTGCAGCTACCACGGACCATGCCTCAGAGCCTTAACTCTGACCCCCAGGACCCTCTCCCGCCAACTCACCGCTCCAGCCACACCCATTTGAGCTGTGCCACTGTAGCCCCCTGGGGCCTCTTCAGTCCCACGTCCGGTGGCACAGGAAGTGCTGGTGGTTCCAGGGGCGTGGAAAGCGGGAGGGCGACAGGGGCTGTGTGCCTGGCCCTCTGGCCACGGGGCCGACAGTGAAGGAGTCCTCACAGCTGAGAACCTGCAGTGCAGCTGAATGTCCCCAAGGGCTCAGTGCTGCGGGGCGTGGGCGGTGCCCCTGGGTGGGAGCCAGGAGGAGCACGGAGTAATCCCCGCAGGAGGGCAGACCGGGGCTGGGTGGGGCTTGGGCCGTGCCTAGCTCAGGGAGGCTGTCGCTCTGTGGGTTTGCAGGCAGGGGGCACCGGAGGGGTTTTTTGGGGGAAATTTCCTCATACCACAGCTGACGGGGTGCACCCAAGACTCCCCACTGGACCAGCTCACTGCCCAGGGGGGGGAAATGTCCTCATACCACAGCTGACGGGGCGCACCCAAGACTCCCCACTGGACCAGCTCACTGCCCAGGACTCCCAGGTCGTGTTGCCAGAAATACTGGACCTTCCCTCACAAGCTACATTGCATCTTAGTTAGAAAAAAGCAAACTCAGCCCAGGTGGTGGCCAGGAGCTTGCGCTCTCCCCTCAGCTGGACAAGACAGCCCCGCTGAGATACACGTTTATAACAGACACAAACAAGCCACACGCCACTTCTGACGTAGCAAGGTGCCACCCTTGCACCTATCGGGTTGACACCTCCAGACGTCCCCAGACACCTCCCGTTACCTCGTTTATGGTGGTTCGATCCAAACATCCCGCTCCATCGTGCTGCCATCCCGTCCCTGTGCCGAACCTGGGTCGGGATGTCCCTGTTGTCTATGGGGCATGTGCTGGTACCGAGCTGTTTCTGCAGCGAGATGATCTGGTACCATCCCCTGGAATATTCCCGTGCCCGGCCCGTGCCCAGTAGCTCCTAGGTGTGTGTGTGTCTGTACTAGCAGCCCCGTCCTTGCCAGGTGTCTGTGACAGGGCCTGCCTGTGGCTCACAGCTTAGCTCTGCTTTATGGTAGCAAAGCATCGACTGAGGCCTCACACCAGACCTCCACTGTCAGGCCCACTGATCACTCCAGCAACAACCCTGAGCTCCCGTCACCATCAGCCCTGGGCTCATCTGTGCGCATGTGAGGGGGGGTGGCTACATTCCGGCAGAGTCTCAAGCAGCTCCCAGCTTGTTACTTATTCCCCTCTGCTTCTCCCCACCCCGCCTCCTCCCTGTGCATCGCAGGAGACCCCATGCCCAGCTCTTGCAAAGTGTCCCTGGTCAGATTTGGGGAGCTGGTGAGATGTGCAGGTCACTGTAGAAGGGGCAGGGCTGCAGGGGAGCCCCAGACTGGTGGTTCTCCCTGGCCTGCTGCTATGCCTGCCAACATTTCCAAGGCATTTCCAAAACACACTCCCCAAGGGGATGGAAGGAGGCTTTTGGTGTCCATAACACCTGGGCAGGGGGTTTCACAATGGTGACCAGAATGTCCCTGTCACAGGAGTAACCAGGGGATTGTGGGACAGCTGCTGGAGGATTGTTAGTGTTAACACAGGCAATTCAGTGCAACAGGAAGTCCATGAAAATAAATCAGCTCTGGCTCCCTCATCTGGGGAAGTGGTGTAATTGCATCAGTGAAATGGGATATCGTTAGCAAGAGACTGAGGCAGGGATGGACATGAAGAACTAAGCGAAAACAAGCTAAATTAAATCAATGTGACTGCATAGCACAGACCAAGCCCACGTATCTTACAGCTACATTACTCCTATTGTAATCTCATGAAAAACGTTATCAAACTGCTCAACAGGATCTATAGTCCAAAAACCCATTGTGATTAGCATTATTGTTATTACCTTCATTACACTTTGTATTAAGTCCCATGTTGGCTGCACCATTATCTTGCCCAGGATTTATGTCAGGCCAACCTGTCTATAATTACCTGAGTCACTTCATTTACCCTTTGAAAATACTGGCACAACATTCACTTTCTTCCAGTCTTCTTGAATATTGCAGGTGTTCCAAGAATTATTGGAAAAGAACACCAACAACTCTGATCCAAATCTTTTAAAACTCTTGGATACAAGTAATCTGAACACGGTGAGTTAAAAAAATGTCTAATAGCAACTGTTTAACACCCTGCAGGGTAACTAGTGGAAGGATTAAGAACAAACTCATACAGGTAAGGATATAATAAAATCAAGACTGACTGCCTTGGTCTACACTAGGGAGTTACTTTGAAATAACCCCCCTTATTTAGAAATAACAAGCAGTGGGTCCATGGTACCAAGCCCATTATTTTGAAATAACAGGCTGATTATTTCAAAATCTTCATTCCCCATTTTCTCAGAGAATAAGCTTATTTCAAAATTGTTATTTTGGGAGTTATTATTTCAAATGTAGTTATTCTGAAATAGTTTCCTAGTGTCGACAGACCCATTAACTGCAGGTTGCAGACAAGAGCAGGGGGGGGTGGTTTAAAAACAGTTTGGGGAAGGGGGAAAATAGAGAAACAATTAAAGTGAACCCAGATTCGAAAGGGTCAGAAAGCCATGGACTTAGAAACAAAAGACAGAACTATGTATCACTTTAAAGACTAACAAGATTTCAGCTAGACCAGACTAACATGGCTGCGTCTCTGTCACTGTGGACTTAGAAAGGAACTGATTTGTATCCAGTTCCTGAGGGCTCTGATTTATGGAGACAGCGGGGTTTATCCGATCTGGGATTGTGCTTAGAACCCAGAGAAATGGGAGGATGCGGACACAGAGATGCAATGGGATCCCTTGCAAGGCGGAGACTGATCTTCTCCCATGGCTCATTCCTGATCACCCATTGTTGTTGCCCTGCGGAGTTTCTCTGCCAGGTCTCTCTTGTTGATGGCATCCAGCACCATCATGGTCACCCCCACCGCATCGCGCTCCGTGTAGTGACCGATCAGCAGCTGAGTGATCTCCACAGGCCCTGCCTTCTCCAGGTCACGTCGAGCTATGTGTGTGTGGTGTCCCTCCAGCTCCATGTCCGTCAGCTTGCTCTTGAACTCCTTCAGCTCAGCCTTCTGCAGGTCTTTCAGGGCGCCCAGGAGATGATCTCTCTTTGTCTTCCTCCGGCCGCCTCCTAGAACATGGGCCAGCAAAGTCCAGTCCCTCACTCCCCACTCGGGTACCATGCCCCGGTCTTCTTCTTCCCCCCGGCTCTCTCCCTTCCCCCCTCCTCTACAGCAAACCCTCGGTACCTCCTCACACACCCAGTGCGGTGCACTCACTGTCTGTGCGGTTCCCCTTTGCTTGCCCCCCACCCCACGCCTCTGCTCTGCCCTCCCACGGATACCTCCCTGACTTAGTTACCCTGACAGTCTCCCCTGTGCCCACGGCTCTTCTTCCCTGTGAGAATCCCCCGCCCTTGATATCCACCCACTCCCTGCACCTGCTCAGAACTGGCCTTCTGGCTCAGGGCAGGAGGACTGCCTAGTGGTTACAGCACAGGGTGGGGAAGGGAGGAGTCCTAGCTCTGCCAATGACTCGCTCTGTCTTTTTTCTTTGGTAACGTCTGTCCTGCTCAGTAAGAGGTTTGCATCTCAGGGGAGGTGAACTGACCTGTGTGGCGCTGTGCTGGTGGCGAACCCGGCTCAATGTCCCCTGGAAGGGAGGAGGAAAGAAGAGCGAAACAAACTTTTTACCATAATTTTCCATTCATTCTGCTCCCCTCATGCCACACTTGGCAGATCTGATTGTCTAAGCCAGTCACATGACAGTGTGATTATCTGTACAGCCATGAAATTCACAGGCGTTAACAGACACCCCCAACCAGACTCTCAAAGCCTTGTCTGCATCTGCTTCCTTAGAGGGTCCCCCGGGGTATGTCTAAACTACATGGTTCCGTTGACAGACCCATGTAAAGTAGTTTGCTCGACATGGTCAACGAAGTGGGGATTTAAATAATCTGCGCTTCATTCAAATAAAAATGGCCGCCGCACTGTGCCGACAATCAGCTGATCCAGCACAACGCGGCAGTCTAGACACGGCACAGTCAACATGGGAAGCCTTTGTCGACTGCTCCTGTAAGCCTCATGAAACAGAGGCAGCAAGGAGGGGGAGAGGCGAGTTGTCAACTAGATTAACCGAGAAACCTAGGCTTATTGGTTAGTCGACTACTCACTTACTTACATCCCTCTCTATACCAGAAAACAGTCTCACTTGTTCCTGTTTGGCAGGAAGGCAAATGCTTAGCTTCCCCCATTAGTTTTTCATGGTCCTGTACCTCTGATGGAGGCTGTGACCACACTCAGCACCACACATCAATCATATTAAAGCCTTGCAGTGATGGTTAATGTCAGTGTCTTTTCCCCATTCCAGTATTTGCTTTGTAGTAGCACCTAGAAGTCAGAGGGATTAACATCTTCAGTACCAGGCAAATTGGTTGAAACTATAGCAAAGAACAAAATGATCAGACACAGAGATGAACACAGTTTGTTGGGGAAGAGCCAACATGGTTTCTGTCAAGGGGACTCCTGCCTCACTAATCTACTAGAGTTCTTTGGTGGGGTCAACAAACCTATGGACAAGCAGGATCCAGTGGATGTAGTATACTTAGATTTTCCAGATCACTTAGAAATATGTTAAGCAGCACCTGCTCCCAATACGGACCCTGGGAGACATCACTAGTTACCGCTCTCCAGTCTGAAAACTGACCATTTATTCCTATCCTTTGTTTCCTGTCTTTTAAGCAGTTACCAATTCATGAAAGCACCTTCCCTCTTATCCCATGACAACTTACTTACTTTTACTTAAGAGCCTTTGGTGAGGGACCTTGTCAAAAGCTTTCTGGAAATCTAAATCTATATCCACTGGATTCCCCTTGTCCACATATTTGCTGATGCCCTCAGAGAACTTTAGCAAATTAGTAATAGAGAGGTAGCCATGTTAGTCTGATCTTGGTAAAACAAAAGGAAAAAAAATATGTAGCACTTTAAAGACTAACAAGATGGTTTATTGGGTGATGAGCTTTCGTGGGCCAGACCCACTTCTTCAGATCGTATTCTGAAAGAGAATTGGCATGACCATAAATACCAAAGGACTGTCCTAGTAACCCGATTAGCCTGTCATTGATTTACAATAAGCTAATTCCTCCTTCCCTCTCCCTCGCCCCACTTTCTGTTCTAAAGCTGATTTGTTAGTTTATAACATGTTCACTTTCTTCATTGTATTCCTTTGGACATGCCAATTCTCTTCCAGAATATGATCTGAAGAAGTGGATCTGGCCCACGAAACCTCATCACCTAATAAACTATCTAGCAGATTAATACCCTTTACACAAATCATGTTGACTTTTTCCCAACAAATTATATTCATCCATCGTTCTGATAATTCTATTCTTTACTGTAGTTTCAACTAACTAGTTTGGTACTGATGTTAGACTTACTGGTCTGTAATTGCCAGGATTACATCTAGAGTCCTTTTTAAATATTGGCATCACATTAGCTATCTTCCAGTTATTAGGTATAGAAGATTATTTAAATGGTAGGTTGTCAAAACTAATAGTTGTGCCTTTGAAGTCAGTGTTTGCTGAGAAATGGTTATCCCTGAGTGTCTTTCCTGTCCATATACGGCTTCAGCAAACACCACAATAACCAATCCACTATACCATATCAATACACTATTACAAGGCAGCTCCCAGTCCATCATGATAGAACACAGATGGGATGCCCCCCTGAATTTTGCACTCACCATCACCAGCAAATACTGAGAAGAGCCGGGGGACACAAATCTCTCACCCCACCAAGATCTTCTGCTGAGCTGAACCTACCTGGTCTCACAAAGGCCTTCCAGATGGGTTGCCTTTCATTTTGTGTTTCCAAGCTGAGCTCCAGCCTGTCCTCAAAGCCCGGGGTGTAAATCTCTATGTACAGATGTTCATCTTGGGGGTCCACATAACAGAACTCCAAGTCCTGCCGTGAAGACAAATTTCCCCATGAGGGGTGACTCTGTCAGAGCCAGCAGGGTGTTGGCAGTACAAAGGACATCCCAGTTGCCAGCAGAACCTAGCTCCGGTCTTCAGTCATCTCTTGCCTCAATTATTACCACCCCCTCACCTCTCTCCTCCAGTGCATCCAAATGTCCCTGCCAAATTCCTTAGGCAGGGCATGCTGCAGCCTTATATAGGGGCATTGGCTACAAAGGGAGCACAGCGCCTCCTAGGGCCATGACTGAGTTTCAGTGATGACTTCAGGAGAGGACCTTGATATTTGCAGGCCTTCTTTGAAGCACAGAAGATCATTTCCACTCACCTCAGGTGTTACTTCTATATTGGACGGGCTGGATACTGAACAGTGGGAGCCATAGGTCAATGGCTTGGTTTTAGAAGGCTTGCGCACACGTATTGATTTGTTCTTCCTTTCATTGTCATCGATTACCTGTAAAGAAGAAGCAGAGTCATTTCTGAGACACGTGTCCACAGAAAACACGGCATGCTGGGACTGCCCCAGAGCCAGGAGTGCCAGTGTAGGGTCCTGGTTCCCCAAACTGTTGCAAAAAAAGCAAACGTGATTCTGGGGGCATTAACAGGAGTCTTGTGAGCAAGACATGAGAAGTCATTGTACCACTCTACTTTGCACTGGTTAGGCCTCAGCTGGAGTATTGTGTCCAGTTCTGGGCACCACATTTCAAGAAAGATGTGGCGATATTGGAGAAGGTCCAGAGAAGAGCAACAAAAATGATGAAAGGTCTAGAAAACAGGAGCTTTGAGGGAAGACTGAAAGAATTGGGCTTGTTTAGTTTGGAAAAGAGAAGACAGAGGTGACATGGTAGCTTTCAAGTATTTAAAACGGTGTTATAAGGAAGAGGGATAAAAATTGTTCTTCTTGACCTTTGAGGATAGGACAAGAAGCAACAGACTCAAACTGCAGCAAGGGAGGTTTAGGTAGGACATTAGGAGAACTTTCTAAGTTAAACACTGGACTAAATTGCCTAGGGATGTTGTGGAATCTCCATCACTGGAGATATTGAAGAGCAGGTTAGACAGACACCCGTCAGGGATGATCTAGATCAGGGTTTCCCAAACGGTGTTCCATGGGACCCCAGGGTTCCACAAAGTGAAAAGAGGGGTTCTGTGAGAAAATTCCATTATAACAACATTTTATGATTAAAAAAATGTGACTTTTGTTTTTAAATATGTGAAATTAAACTAAATGTTGATCTCATGACCTTGTTTAGCATTTGTCTGTTATTATCCTTACTTATTTGTGGTCTACTGTTTCAGCTCCATATATTAGACTGCAACTAGTGGTTCCGCAAAATTCTTTCAAGTTTAAAAGGGATCCGCGGCCAAATAAAATTGGGGAACGCTGACCTAGATGGTGCTTGGTCCTGCCGTGATGGCAGGGAACTGGACTTGATGACCTCTCGAGGTCCCTTCCAGGTCTAGTGTTCTAGGATTTCCTCCTACACAACCGTCCTTGGAAAGAAGAGCCTATTGTTATGATGACAAGAGAAAATAGTGCCATGGAAATGGCAGACGAGGTGCAATTTTGACACAGTGTCTGTTTATCAGTTAAGGGTTCCATCTTGACTCAAAGTCACAGATGGGATATGGGCAATAAACAATAAATCACGGATATGGAGCCGAGGCCCTTGCCATCTGGGGTTGAAGCCAAAGCAGACGTCTCCAAAAATCCTGGCCCCTGTGACCGAGGTATAACCTTATTTCTAATGAGGCCTGGCAGCAGTCGATATTTCATTTTGACAGACGATAGCCACAATTATTTGTAAAAGGGTTTTTCCCCTATTTTTATCTACTTAAATGTTCATAGTTGCAGGATATTATGGGGACACCTTAATGGGTCATAATAAAAGCAAAATTACAGTTATACCTATATATAAAATCCCTTGCTATTCACCTTTAAAAGTCCTTTCCTAGGAAGAATCTCACATTTCAGAGTAAAAGCATCTAGAGTTACATGGAATTTAGGAAGAACCTTTGCTATACTTCTCTTTGGGCAGCTCTCTCAGCAGTGCATGCAACAGGATGTTCTGAATGACTCTGGATTATGAAAAAACGACGAGAAGTCCTGTGACATCTTATAGACTAACAGATTTATTGGAGCAGAAGCTTTCACGGGCAAAGACCCACTTTGCCAGGTGCATGTGCATCTGACGAAGCGGGTGTTTGCCCACGAAAACTCATGCTCTAATATATCTGTTAGTCTATAAGGTGCCACAGGACTTCTCATTGTTTTTGAAGATTCAGACTAACCCAGCTACCCCCTGATACTTGTCCAGATTATGGTAAATAGTGAATCTGGCTCACTCTTGTGGAGTCAGTTACCTCTTTCAGAGCACGGATGTCAGGTATCAGGTACAGGTGAAGCGTTACATTTTGAGCCCTGAATGCCCGGTAGAGCAGCGCGATGCTGTGGATCGAAGGAGATCGGAAACGTTTGAGTATTTGAGTGACAACTCCCCACAAGGAGAAGGTGGGACTCTCCAGTACGGTGTGGAAAGGCATCACTCGCGTTGGCTCCTCCAGCGTCATCCTCCCACCGACAAAATGGGCGACTCGCAGCCGGGTGACATCAGCCTCTGCCCCTGGGAAGAGATGTCAAAGGGAAGTCAGTTCTGTTTTTCCGGTTCCATGATGGTGCTGCCCGAGGATTAGAGCAAAGGACCCAGGAGTCCTAGGCTCTCTTCTCAGTTATGGGGGGAAGGGAGCAGCAGACAAGCAGTCAGGACTCGTGTCTGTTGTGTGACTACTTATTGGTGCCTGCATGGGTACTAACCCCACACTTTGTAATGGACCCTGAAAGGCCCTCCAGAGCCTTTCCAAGGGCTGGTCGGGTGAGCTGGCTCACAGGGGAAGTGATGTCCACCAAGAACAGAGCTGATACAGGGCTACTCCCACCTACCATGGATTAAGGGGGAGGGGAGGAGAAGGCGTGACCGGTGACTGCATCCCAGCCTGATTACCTGTTTTTTTCCCTGAGGCAGCAAATTGCCCCTTTATTCAGGGCTGGTAATTCTGTGGCCTACGTTTTTTTAACAGGCAGCAAATAGGAATTAGGTAATGGCTCTTCCAACCATCCGAGACCCGCCTCACAGTCCTCCTCTCTTCCATTGCAGAAGCCACCGGAACTGGACAGAATAACCCTGTATCCATACAGCTGGTCCTTCTAGGGTGTTGTATAAATATGGATCAACTTACTGGGCCCAGCCGTGTATACTCACTCGACAGTCTGTTGTTGTGCTAGGTTCTGGTGACTCCTGCAGTAGAAGACCGGAGGCTGGGTGGACGCTACTCAATTACACCCTACCTGTATCCAAACAAACCTAGCTGTGCTCAAGTGGTTTCCTCATGCTCTTAATGTTGTGAAACAAAACCCAGGACTATGTAGCACTTTAAAGTCGAACAAGATGGTTTATTAGGTGATGAGCTTTCGTGGGTCATCTTGTTCATCTTTAAAGTGCTACATAGTCCTGTTTTTTGTTTCAGATACAGCAGACCAACATGGCTACATTTCTATCACTATTCTTAATGTTGTGATGAACAAAGGCACAACAGGCAACTAAAGTCTTTAGGAGGGATGTTAAGTAGCAATTAATTTGCTAATCAAGTAGTGGATGGAATTATCCCTCCCCCTCCCCCGCCACTCTGCATTCTGAAAGAGACCAACTAAGCAGCAGTCCCATGTTCTCAGCACAAACTCCCCTCTGCCACTCTGCAGTCGGAAAGGGACAGAGCAACCAACCCTTGGATCTCAGCACAAGCTGCCCTTCCTCTCCCTGCTGCCACTCTGCATTCTAAAAGGGACAGAGCAACCAGTCTGCAGGTCTCAGAACAAGCTCCCCTCCCACTCCTTGCTGCTGCTCTGCATCAGGCAGCGAGAGCACGCTGGCTCAGTGTGTTGGACCCACATTGCAAATGCTGCGGACCAGAGCCCTGTGGAAAAAGGCAAGCCTTTCTTGGGTTCACTGCATTTCACAAAGACAGACGCAGTAGGCTTACTAGGTAACCTTTCCCTGCCCCCAAAGGAAACCGAGCACTTTAACACATGGCTGTGGAGTTTGCTTCCTAGCTTGAAAGGTCTTGTCATGTAAATAAGTTCTTCATCATGCAAATGCTAATCCCAGTTGTGCTTGTTACTTTATTTGTAAGTCACTCTGTTTGCTAGTGTAGTTTCTTGGTTCTTCAAAGACTTGGCCTCCACCCTTAATAACTTTCAGAGTCTAGCCCGGTCCCAAAGCACATTGTAAAACCCAATGGCAGTCACCTTGGGGACCCCTGGCATTCACCTCCTTTGATTGACCATACCCCCCTTACCAGCCTCAGCTCCTCTACTTCCTGGTCAATGGGAGCACAGTACAGTCATATCAACAGCACTAACTCAACCACCTCTTGTCCAGTTCTTCGTAGTGCCTGCCCGGCTTTGGAGTGTCTGTCTGTGACTCCATGATCATGGTTTCCCCAGCAACTCTAACAGCTTGTTACTAACCAAGACCAAATGCCTTAGCCCTTCAACTCTGACTTTTGCCTCAGGTTCCTCCACTTCCCCAGTGCTGAAAGTCATGTGGATAGTTGTGTTTGTGGGTGCGCATTGCTGTGGTTTGGTACAAAATCACCAAAATCAATGGGTCTGTAGCAGGGATGTTAAATATACATTAATTAACCAATCGACTAGTTGATTAGTCAATAAGTGGGGCAGCCACAGCAGGGTTAGCTCCTGGCCCCAGGACCAAACCCCACTGCAGCTGTGCCTTTTAAGACTGCAGAATAGTGATAGAGATGTAGCCGTGTTAGTCTGGTGTAGCTGCAACAAAAGACAGGACTATGTAGCACTTTAAAGACTAACAAGATGGTTTATTTGATGATGAGCTTTCGTGGGCCAGACCCAGTGGGTCATCATCAAATAAACCATCTTGTTAGTCTTTAAAGTGCTACATAGTCCTGTCTTTTGTTTTAAGACTGCAGGCTCTTAATACATTGAAAAGGCTAAAGCCTGCCACGTTGGACCCAGCGTGAGCCGAGAATCAGCTGGCCCAGCTTGTGCCGGGTCCTCCTCACATCCCTGGTCTGTAGAGCTTTCAGAGTCCTGAGTTCTCTGCCATACCTGCCAGGCACAGGAAGTGCGGGAGGTGCAGGGCTGCCACGGCCCCGGCCGGTTCTGCCCGGATGTTGAACAACGGGCCGGCCACCATCCACTGCTGCTTCTCCAGTTTAGTCTGATGGCAACGCCAGGATTCATACTCGTATTTGATGGTCACGGCTGCCGTCACCTCGAACCCCAGTTCAGTTTTAGAGCATCTGAAGAAGCCTGCCTGTGGGAAGTTAACCCTGCCCAGCAAAGGGAGAGGAAGGAAGAGGGTTAAACCAT